AAAAAGCGAGAATAATATAAATTTCTTAATTTTTCTAAAGAAAAACATATTAGTTTAGAAACAGAATAATCTTGTTTAATGAAGTGCGATCTAATAAGTGTGTTGAAGTATAGAGATTTAAATTCGAATCTATTTCCTTCCCGCAGACTTTAATCCTTTTGTGGAAAGAAGATTTAGTACGTTAGAAACTTCAAATCGCAACATCAATGAATAAACAATATGTGTTCATCAATTGTATTTCACATTTTAATTCCTCAAAAATTCTATTAACAGATTTCTTCGGATTTTTTAATACAAATTCAAAATAAATAATTATTATCTATCTTATAAGTGGGCATAGACGGTTAGAAAAATTTTTATCAAATGAATTGAATCTCAGTATTTTTTTAAATATTATTCGACAGAATCTATCGAATAGGTTCAAGATCTAAATTTCATCGTGTCTTGGTCTGAAACATACTGTGTGTTCCATATCACGAACTTCACTTCATTACTTCAAAGAAAATAGATCACCGAAGAAGTAGATACTTGTCAATTATAAATTACTTTTCATAGAGTCATTTGAATTTTATATAAAAGATTTCGAAAACGTTTATTTATATCTGATGATTTCGATCTTTGTTATGTTCAAACTTATTCTAATATCCTTGTATAGTTTTCTTTCCTTTTGAACAATTGTAGTCATTGATATCTTGATAAGATATTTTCCGAATTTTATTGATTAAAAAAATAACAATCAAGCTACTAAATAAAGTAAACTTAATTTTTCGAAATTTCACGATTAATCGTCATTACATTCATTGATCGGAATCCAACAGTTTTAAGAAATATTCAGAACTGCTGAAGCAGTTTTTAGACAGTGTCTTTGGAATTGGTAATCTACAATGTGTTTCAAAAGTCTTTATGGGAAAGTTTAGATAAATATCTCTTTTTCAATTCTAACGATTAATTTATTTTTCTTATAATATGATAGTATATTCTTTTAAAATTTGATTGTTTAGATGAAATTCAAAGAGATAAACTAAATATTTCATATAATTGGATGTTACAACAAAATGATTATCGTCCATTGAAATGTATTATTCTCGAAATCTTGAACAAAAAATATAATAGAAAGTTTATTTTTTTTGAATTAATTTATTCCCATTTTCGGCTTTTGTATTTTGAATTCAATCAAATGTTTATATATGTCTTACACATATAGATTTTCACCTTATATTCATCAAGTAAGTTATTAATATCAAAAGAGACTTCATCTAAAAAAGAAAATAAATTCTTCTGATTGTTAATATTTTCTAATATAACTATTTACTACTATACTAATTTTCTCAAAATCATTGACGAGCATTTGTAATACATTCTATATCTAACAATTTTATGGCAAATTTCACTTGCATTTTTCTTTCTACTATGATAGGTAACTCAAATTTGACCATTAACAAAAGTTGAAAAAAAACGTACTATAATATTATTTAAAAAAAACATATAAATCGCTTGAATTTTCATTCCTTTGAACAGTATAGGTAAAGAAATTCTTTGTTTATTTATTTGTCTAAAGATTAAAATTACATTTACTGCATTAAGAAAAATCTGTTTGTGACGAAATCATACAAGAATGACAAAACATAAATGAGTCTAGAACCTACTCAGATACTGCCTAAACGTCTTCTTTTCGAAATAAAATCTCCAACCTACGATATGATGTTAAGCTGAAACTTATTTTGCACATATTGAAGACGTCTAGTTACACATTAAGACAAATCCAATCTTGTATCGTTCGCTTAGTGTGAAGTAGAACAGTTTTAGTTTATGTATAACATTCATTTTTACAGTCTCTTACATCACCAACGACATCTGATTGCTTTGACTGAAAAGTCTTTTCTTTATTTTACAAACGACAGTTCGAAGTTAGACAAAAAAAAAGTTCGATTTTAACATTCGAAAAGGGGGCGGATCCTCTTGAGATTATGCAACACTCACACAACTTCTAAGTTATCAGCAGAAGAATTTTTGATTCCAGTTTTTTATTTTCGGAAGCGTCGAGCTCAAATAATGTTACGAACGAATTATTTGAATTAAGTTTCAGAAATATTCTGCAAGATTTTATCCAGAGCATAGTTTTCTCTCTTATTACGTCCGCATTGTTTTCATACATTAAGTCACTTTTTTTCTATTCAATAGTTTAATTGATAGTAAAATCTTGTTTTTGTCTAAAAAACAACAATAACAATTGAAAGAATGACATTCAGTCAACAAGGATACATATTTCGTTTAAAGTATTTTTTTTTTCGTTTGACAAAGGTGTAAAAACTAAGCAACTAAAATCTATTTGTTGACTCTTCCATTAAAATTACTAGTGCATTTTTTTCTTTCTTTTCCGACATGCATTCGTTGCCTTATTAAAACGCATACACACAAACGTTTTCGATTGTTTTACTGAGTACAACAGTTAATGGCTGAAATATCTTCACATTTTTTAACATTGTATCTACTCTTGTCTATCGTTTATTTCAATTATGGTATGAAATTTGATATGATTAATATGGAAAAAAAAAGAAATCTTGATTAAATATAGGTTCTGGTCAATTAATTTGTTGGCGATGTGATCCATGTCCCGAACCACATAGTAATACATCATCATTGGTTTCAGCTGTTACTTGTACGTCATCCCAAACTATTTGTGTAGTAAGAAAATTAGTTTTAAAAAAAATTTTTTTGTCGAATAAAAATTTAATTTTTGTTTTTGAAAGAAAAATAGCGTTCGAATACTTGGTCGATCGCCACAAATATCCAAAGGATGTGTTGAATCTTGTACACCAAGTTCATCAAATTTTTTTGGTCAAGGTGCTTTTGTTGATTGTTGTAATACTAATTATTGCAATTTATCAACACGAAATCAATTATCATTATCGATTTATTTTCTTTTTATTATCGTATTCACTTTCATTTTTTATCATTAACAAAAATTGATATTGTTTTGTTTTTTTCTTTTTTTAATTTATTAATTTCGTTGTATTTTGTTCGTTTGTTTATCATCGAAATGAAAATATTGCTAAAAGCTTAATTCATTTTTCTTAAATTAATACGTTTCGGATTATTATTAGTAAGACATTGATTTCTGTTTATATTACTTTTCGCTATTGATTTTAAATCAATGATAGTATATTTATTAGTTTTACTATTGTCTATTGTATTTATTTTGAGACGACAACGTTTTTAAATATTTAATAAAACAAAATTAGAAAATTATTTTTGAATTTTATTTTATAATAAAATATATTAGAAAAATATAAATATTAATCTCTTTTAAAATAATAATATTATTAATTATATTTATAAGAGAATACATTATGCATATTTGTTTGCACTACAATCCATATAGTACACGTTGTACTGAACGATCTACCGGTAGGTTTTGTGTGATTTCAATCACATGGAAATGATAATCTTGTCTATTAAGAATAACTAAACAATAAATTCATGAAGTTATTATGAAATTGAAAATAAGCAAAAATTGATTTGATAGTCTATAGAGAATGAATGGTTTATTATCTTATGCTGTTGTATAATATTCTAATTTAATAATAAAAAATATTGTATAAGAAAAAAACTTGTCTTACCTATCCATAGTTTTGCTAAGAAAAAAAAAGTAATATTTAAGAAATATTTGTGTATGTAAATTTTTTCTATATATGAGATAAATACAAAATTTATTGCCAGTTTAAATAGCTCATCATTTAAAGCTTTCATTTGTTTGTTTGTTTTTTTCTAATATATAACTTACATGTTAACATTGAATAGGTTTTTCGTCTAAAATAAAATAGACAATTTATCCATAATCAAAATGATTGAAAATAATCGATTAATTAAATACAAATTTTTTTTATAAAATGAAAACACTGTCAAAAGAGGAGAGCAATTCCATGACAGCGTTCTTAATATTACCGGCTGATCATAGAATCGTTCTTCCTTTATTATACAGCTAATACAAAAACAATATACATACAACCAAATATAAATATCTTTAAATTATCGATGACATAAAAGGAAGAAAGAAGAGAGCAATCCCCATGACAATTTGTCTTTAAAATATTGTCTAATTATCAAGAAGAGCTCTCTTCTCTACTTGAAAACCTTTTCAATTCAATACATACCATTTTTTGTTTGAACATAGTGTCTATTCAACTAACACATTGGTGTTGAGTACTTATATATATATATATACATCGATGCACACAAAGATAATGAAAAATAAAGTTAACCGAGCATTGTCTATTGGTATCTCACTTGTATAAGATATATCTATTACATGTTATCATTTGATGAACTTACGTTCAATTGCGGAACGGATAATAGTTGATTGGCAAATGAAATAACACAACATGGGGATCAACGAATATAAGAATAGATGAAGAATAGATTTGTTCTCTCTTTTACGAAAAGAACCTTTTGTATTCTTTTTGATTTACTCCTCCACACAAACACATACTGACATTTTCAAACTAACTAAAACAATAACAAACTATACCATGTTATTATTGATTTATCAAATCTATTGATGGCAAATAAAAGAAAAAGAGAAGCTTTTCATGGATGATGCCATTTTCAATTTGATGCCGTTTGAACTTTATATATATATATATGAGATAGATTGATTACAGTGTGTGGAATTGAAAAAAGAATCTAATTGAAATCGTATGGTAACATCATCCTTTTAATTCATATGAAATATTAACAAACTAACATCATTTGTTTGCATCATTCATGTAATCATTAAGGCAATTTATTTGAAAAAAAGAAGAAAACAGAAACAATATTAATTATAGAATAATTCGAAATAAAATTTCTAAATTACGTCAAAAAGAAAAAAAACAAAAAGCTATAAAGCATTCACACAAATCACTGTTAATTTGCGCCCAAAGAACAAAAACAAAAACACAAAAAAATAATAATAAAACACATGTGCACACCGAGTTTATGCATAATAAGCATCTGACATTCTACGATTGCACAACTATCATGGAATTTGAACGTGTTTTTGATTGAGTAACAATCGGTTGTGATTTAAATGTTGTTGAAGAAAAGAATATATTTTGAAAAAATTCATCAAGATTATTATTTGTTCGATTTTGATATTTATCTATAATTTTTGTTATAAGTTTTTTTCGAATTGAATAAGCAGTTTGAGAACTAAAAACAAAAATAACAAATATAAAAATTAATTATTTCGTATATATGTATTTTTTTCAATAAATATAAACAAACTTTTGACTATCTTCTAATCGTTTTCGACGACTTAAATTATTTACAGCTTGTCGAAGAAAAAATGATAATATATGTAATGGTATAACCATACCATCAATTAGTGGAATACTAGCACAGGCAGATTGCATTCTAAATAATGAGAAAAAAAAAAATTAATAATCAAAGAAAATTATAATTTATTTAAAAAATAAATAAATAAGTTTTACACTTACCGTTGAGCATTGGAATTAAGTAAAATACGAAATAAACGATTTTTTAATGGATGAATACCAATTATTGAAATGTCTCGACTTTTTGATTGTTGGTCTTGAACTATAATACAAATTAAAGAATATTTTAATAGAGAATTTAAAATAGACTTCTCATTAAGAAATATGATCTTTATCAAATATTTAAACGATATTTTTTAACTTTTTACTTTCTATAACGATTCAAGAAGAACCATCAATTAAATAATCTTATGTATAGAGAGTATGTTAATGGCACAAGCATATCAATTAGATGTTCTGTTTCTCGTACAGTATAATTTTAATTATTTCAGTAAGAGGATTAACCGATATGAGAAGTTGCGAGTATTGTGTTCCTTCATGATAGGATTGAGTATATATAAAAGCAGCTTATATTCCATGATATTGAAGTAATAGAAAAATGATCTACTCTTCTTTATAATATTATATATAATCATTAAAGATAGATTTTTCATATTAAATATTATTTCAATTTCTTATGTGATAATATTTATTCTTGATTGTTCTCTTTTTGTGTACTCAAAAAGTGAGTACACTCTAGAATCGGTCAGTATGTCCGTCCGGCCGTTTACACGATAACTTTTGAAAAGAGAGTCCAATCGCAATGAAATTTTCTACACAGTTCAGTCTTAACAATGTCTCGGTCGAGTTCGAAGATGAGAAGGATCCGTCAAGAAATGGCTGAGTTATCGAAAAAATTGTCATTATTGAGAAGACCATCCCTGNTCAGTTTTTAACGCTGATTCCGAATCTGATATTAGTTTTGAACCAAATCGTAGCTTTCTAACAAAACATCCCATGAAAAATGTCTCAAAATGCAGAAAAACTGCATGCAAAAAGCAAATAGGCTAAATATGGCTCAGTTGATAGAAAACAGTGAATATATCTCTTCACTTTTCGCAGTACACATAACACTCGGATTTAAATCCGAGGTTTTCGCATTTATTACTTAATAGTAACAGTATACACTGTTCAAATTGTTGTTTCTCCTATGTAATTCGCTATGTTATTTTCAAACTTTTGAAACTTATATTTGATAATTGGTAGATCTTGTCATCAATCTATAGTATATACAAAGTTCGAAAGATTTCTACTAGTCTGAAAGTAGTGAATATATTTGTTTTGAAAAATTTTCAAATTTTCTTATTTATTTTTAATCGATTTTGTATGTCCTATAGGTTGAAAGAGACGAAGTAATGGAATAAAATGATTTTGTTATTATGAATTGATAGCTGGTAAAAATTTTGGAATTCTTCTATACATTATTTAGTTTTTATTAATCATCTACAAATAGTTACTCTAGTTATTTATATTTAGAAGATTTGTTTTAAAAACAACACAAAATCAGTAAAGGTTAATCATGAGTCACTTATTAACTATTCAAATATAAAAGTTAAAGCAGTGAGATATGGTTGCGTATGTTACATATCGATTGACAATGATAGATTCAATTTAAAAAAGCCAAATGATGATAAAGATTTTGATTATTTGATCTTTAATATTATACCATCAGATAAGCGATAATTAGGTTCAATTTGAATTTTTATTTAACGGAATGAGATCTTAATATTTAACTACTAGTTACTCTGAAATATAAAGTTTCTATTTTCTCTCATCATCGAAGTTATATCCATATCAAATTTGAATATATTTTAATTATAGACATAGAAATCAAAACTATGAAACAAAAAAAAAAAAACTTCGTTTTATAAATATACAAACCCGGAAGAATTGAATCAAGATCCTCAGGAAATTCTTCAAGCCAGACAATTAATATTCGCATTTCGGAACTTTGATTATCAGCTATAAATTCATAGAAAAGATAATTAAAACAAAAAGAAAAATAGATACTAACTAGAAAAATGATGAGGTAAATAAAAAGCCATTTCAGTTGTTAAATCAACCCAATATAAAATACTATCATCTCCATCAATTTCAGCCAATGTTTTTGATGTTGGACATTTATTTGATTGAGCAACTGAAACTGTTTTCCAACTTGTTTCAACATTTCCTGTCCAACCACAATGACGTTTTATTTCAACAACTGAACCAAATTGTGAAATCATTGTTAAAAAAGATGAATTCAATTGTTCGGGTGTTTTCTATAAACAAATCAAATATATTCTATTCAAATCTAACAAACAGAACATTCCCTAGATGTTCGTTTACTTTTGACTTGAGACAGAATTTAATGAGAATAGTTTATTGTGAAAGTTTCAGATTTTTTGGTTTGTTCTTATTCTGAAATAAGAATATGGAATCAGCCAGTGTATATCAATGATTTTATCATAGCTGTATCTTAGAATAGGAACTAGGAAAAGATCTGAAACTTTCACAATAAACTATTCCCATCAAGACTTGTCTCTGTGCAAAGTTTCAAGTTGGAATTTAAGAAACAGTTTTCTTAGTGTTCCTAAGATGGATCACCGTATTGTATTTAAAATACCGTAAAGTGACTAATCGATTAGAAAACTTCTCTCGCAAATATTTTTAGAGATACGAAACTTTTAAAGTATAAGTTCTTTTCCGTAGACAGTAAATATAGCATGTATTTTTTGAAAGTTTTATATCTCAGAGAGATTTAATCCGAAAATTCTGAAATTTTCCATGCAAACTAGTCTCTAATAGAGGTATTTAGATGGACAAAGTTTCAAATCGAAGTTCGGAAAATATGCTAGGCTTACAGTAGAAATTAACCTAAAACAAAAAACATTCGATCTTTTCAGAAAAAATTCATCAGATATCTGTGAATATTCCTTTCATAAGAAATCTATACCATATTTAAAAATGATTCATTAATTGTATATTGATTTCGTTTTAAATAAAATATTTGTCCAGTACAATAAAGTGTTGGCGAAATTTTATCTAATTTTTTAATATCATCCATAAATGTTGATATATTTGAATCAAGTATTTGAATACTTGGTTGAAGACGATCAATTATTTCCGATTGATTCTATATATATATTTAATTAGATGATTAAAATTAAAAAAAAAAATTTTCTGTTACCCATTGTTTTCCATTAATAAGATGATGCATTGAATCTAATGAACAAAAACCATAATGTGATAAAAATAGACGAATACTTTCGAAATGTTTTTGACGTCTAGAAAATTTAAAAAATAATTTTATTAAGAAATTTTAATTCAAAACAGTAAAACCATACTCTCGTGGTTTGCATTCTGGCATGTGTTTTTCATCAGTTGAATGAGTACGTTGTACAGCATGTTCTTCAATTTTAATTTGTTTAGTTTTTAATGTTCGAAATATATTTAATTTTTCTTCATCACGTTTAACAACAGAATTTAATGTTGGAATACTTAATTCACTAATACAACAAAATAAAAACAATCGATCTTTTTTCTTATATTGATTAAAAAAAAAATTTCTTTTTTTAATTCATCGTAGAGATAAAAAAAAAGACTGAAGCATAAAGGGTTTGGTTAGATTAGTATTATTTTTTTTTTGAATACAATACAGAGACCCATATCATACAACATATAAAGCAGAATAAAATAGTAATGTATATTTCATTTTGTTTATTAATCTACTTACGGTGGATGATAAAAACTGAAAAGAATTATATATAAAATGTTTATATGAAATAAACGATAGAGAAGTTTTGTTAGATTAGTATGATATTACAACCAACCTGCTATGTCGAGATGAATCGCTAGAATTGTGTTTTATTATTTTTTCAATATTTAGTTTACTCTTATTAGGAAAAATGTTTTTTTAATATATTTACCTTTTTGTTCGTTCACTTCGTGCACTATGTGGTAGAATAAGTTTTTCTTTATGATCATTGACTGAATTAATGGTTGATGTTGATGAAGTTATTTTATCGTTTTCATTTAAATTTCTTTCACTAGACTAAAAATTAAAATCTTGCTTGTTTGTTTTTTGTTTTGAAGTGCAATAAATAAATTCGATAGTTACTTTATTTCGTTTTATTGATAGATCTGATATAGGATTATAACGAAAATTTAATGTCCAAACATTTTTTCCGAATAATCCACGACAAAGAAGAATTATTGCTGGCATATCTATCCAAGAAAAGAGAATTTTTTCAAGACAAACATTTCTGAAAAAAAAAAAGGGATAATATGTTAACACTCTTATTATTAACTATCCAATGTGTTTCGATTTTCGTGATACAAAATATAAGTGAAAAATAGTAGGTCATACTTGGAATCAGACAGTCAAGTTTTTTGATGATGAATATGTTGGGACAAATTAAAATTCCAAATTCGACTGGAGATAAATTTATACAAACAAGTATTTTATTAAAAGTAACGTGAAATGAACATAAAAGAGAACGTTTTAGTTATAGTGATTGTATTTTCTATAGAAAATTTATTTATTTCGATTGTATGAATGTATCTCTAGTCATATCCTAATATTGTCCGGATGTAATGGAACTCGAACAACTCCTAATGTCGTATAGTCAAAATTAAAATTCTTATTTTAAACCGAAATATTATAGATTATATTTTTTTTCTCTTTATTTCATCATTTTAAGAAGTTAAAGAAAACAAATCATATGATGACATTATGCTTGTAAATTGGAAATGATATTTTTAAGTATTTAAATTTAACAAAAGAAAGTATTACGTTCGACCTGTTTCAAAAAATTTATATAGATTTTTCCGATTTTATATTGATACAAAAAATAATATTTAGCTCTTGTGAGTTTCCTAGAACTTCATCCGGATGTTAACTGATTCAAGTCAACATTGATTTCATTCCTTAGAAAGGATACTTTTAGAAATTGAAATCGTACGAAATATCCAGGTTAGAAATTACGAACAGTTTTCGGCAGGAAAACATCTCGAATGAGGAATCCAGTAGCCGGCACTATCCGTTTACCGTTGGTTCTAATAAAAACTAGAGAAATTACTATATTCTGCAGTTTTTTTTTTTAGTAGGTTCACGCTGTGAATTTACGGGTCTGGGCACCAGATTCATTAATTTGAGTTTATTTTGTAAGCAAAACTAATGAAATGAAGTTATTAAAATTTCTATTATCTCTTGATATTTTTTATCCTATCAATATAACTCTAACAAAAGCTAACCATTATTAACAGTAATTGGTAATTCAGTAACTGCTAATAAAGTATTTCCATTAACAGCAAAATATTTGAATTGTGTTGATGTCATTGAATTTGCAAATGTTGTTTCATCCAACCAATTTCTACATATATCATTTTTTAAATGCAATACAGCCTAAAATATATATATATATAAACTTAACTTTATTATCGAATTCTATGAAAAATAATTTAGCAAAATAAAAAAAGCAACTAATATTTGTATTTTCAATATGAAAAAAAAAGCACAATCAAATGAATCAATGTGAATATGTGCACTAAAAATTTCGTCGAAAATTCGAGCAACAACTTTAACAACCTCTTCATTTAATATATCACCAGCAAGTTCAGCATGTTTACATGCTCCTGCCACAGAACGCTGTGAAACATTTGTTAATCTATTTAAATTCTATAGGGTGGGGATATTGATGATTCTCAATAAATAAATAAATAAATAAATAAATAATCTTACTTTATGTTCAAATAGAATACACATTAAATATTCAGCAGCTTCAGCAACACGTTGGGATGCTGGATGAAATTCTTTATATTTTTTATAAATAATTTTTTCTGATGACTACAAAATAGAAATAAAAATAAATAATTTTTATTTTTTTTTTTTTGTTAAATCTATACTTGAGCTTTTTCACCCGATACTCCTAATTCAATAATTTCACATAATTGAAATAAATTTTCTAAATCATCAAGTAATGTTGGTCGTTCAATAATTAATGTTATTAATGTATTATATGTTGCAACACATGTTGAATGCATTTCACGTGTATGATGTTTTGGACTTAAATGTAATTGTGTATCAATAAAAGTACATAAACGTTTAAGAACTATTTTCCATGTTTCAATCGCTGCAAAGAAAAATAATATTTGACTTTTATGAGTTTGATATATTCTAATAACATACGTATTTGACATATTGGATCCGTTACAAATGAAATAAGTGTATCAAGTGCAGTCAAAAATAATTGAGAATCATTTGTACCTTTATCGCAGATTAATAATACGGCTTGATTTGAATATTCAGGAATTGTATCTATAAGTTAGAAATATTTAGATGAAAATAATTTTAAATTTTTATTTGTTGATTAATGTGAATATGATTTAGAGACTAGAGTAGGCATGTAGTGAATCCAGATTTCACTTTCGGAGATCGGAAACTGGATCAATAACTTCAGCATGCTTCGAGTATTTAGTTAGTTGTTCAAGCAGTTCTTGATATATATATAGGCGATTATTGAAACATCCTTAGGTTTAGTCAAGTTCGGTTGTCTGTAGACATTTTATAGGCAATTGTAAAAGTCTTTGTTTTGGTTTACTTCTAATCGTTACTGCAAAATAGTTGCATTGAAGATCGAACCGTAACGCTGAAATTCGGTACATTTTATAGACTTGAACTTGGGAAGTTCGAAATTTTTCAGGTCCGAAACGTACTCCTAATTTCAAAAACATTTTTTAGTTTGAATCTTATAGTATGCTTTTTATCGATTGTTTGTATTCTGCTAATAATACATTAATGTTCTATTTACTTAACTAGATTCTTTTTCCATAAATGAATCTAAATATTTCGAATTGAAAATCGCCTAAAAATGCCCAGTGAATGTTTGGTTTTATAGACAGAATCATCAAGATACGAAACAGTCCTATCAAAAGAGTATTGAAATAGAATAAAATACATTCAACACGATTTTCACCAGACGATATAATCCATCTGATTCGGTTTACATAGAGGTGTAAGTCAATCGGCTGAGAGTTCGTCGGCATCGATCAATGTATCAACTTACCAATTAAGATTATTCTAATCATTGATTTAACTGTCACATAGATCTGTCGTATGTATCCCTTATAACTATAGCAGCAGGTCTTAATGCACTATAAAATCTCACAAACACTAATAATGATTGCTTCTCAAAATTATAATCCTTCATCTTTAACATCCTCTATGGATACGCAAAAATTTTTAAAAATTGCACTATTTCAAACATTATCATTCAGCGCCGTTCTCCATCAATATAATACTCTACGAAAAGAATCTAATGTCTGTTATCTTGGGCTGTAATTTCATTCATTATTTTCTTCTAAAATACATGTAAGTGCTACAAAACAAACAAAATTCTTTGTAATTATATTATCTACCGGATGTCCCAATATGATTGCAACATCGTTTGTTTTGTGAATATTTCTGCACAGACAAATGATATAATCTTGATTTCTTTTTTCAAAAGATGCGCCGTGAAAAGCTCTACAAAAAATGCCAGAACAATTCCCTACTAGCATGTTCTCATAATTTTTCCTACAGTCAAAATGAAACACCTACGTATTAGTGCTACATCCCACCATATTTAAAATAATAAAAACGTTTGAAAGACTGTTTTTATTTTACAATAGGAATTTCCTCATACAGCTTCTGTAGAGCTTTCGACGACGTATTTTTTGAAAAAAAAAATCAAGGTGCTACCATTTTCTCAAGTCGAGATACATGCAAAATAAAAAAGTCTTCGATACATTTTTATTATTTTAAATACGGTGGGAAGTAGCACTAATATGTAGGTGTTTCATTTTGACTGTAGGAAAAATCATGAGAACATGTTACCCAGCCAGACAAAAATTTTGAAAAACGCGTTTAAGCGCACAATCGGGAACCGCGATTGTAAGCCATTAACGCTCAAAAACGGGAATTGTCGCCGTTTTAACGCCCATGAAGTTATAAAAAACGCCAATAAACGCGTTTTCGTGCGTTCTTTTAATGAGCGTTAATGGCTTACAATCGCGGTTTCAGATTGTGCGTTTAAACGCGTTTTTCAAAATTTTTGTCTGACTGGGTAGTAGGGATTTGTTCTGGCATTTTTTGTAGAGCTTTTCACGGCGCATCTTTTGAAAAAAAGAAATCAAGATTATATCATTTGTCTGTGCAGAAATATTCACAAAACAAACGATGTTGCAATCATTTTGGGACATCCGGTATTATTCGACTACTGCCATAAATAGTATAATATACTACATCGGGTTTACTCTCGTTCGAAATTCGACAGACTTCATTAAAAGTTTATACTAGAATCTAACAAAAAGAAAATCAAAATCTCAAGAATTCTGCAAGATGAGAACCATGACAGCGAAAAATGATTGTGGATCTTTAAAAGAAAAAAGTGTCAATATTAACCCTTTTAAGAATTATCGTTTTTTTTATATCTGATTAATCTTACCTTTATAAACTTTATCTTCTGATTTATCTTGTTGTCGATCATAATGAGCTGATAATGAACAAGCTAAACGAATAGTACCTATACATAAAAAGAAAAAAACCAAATAACTAAATTTTCTAATTTATTTTTTTAAATTAAATTATCTAACCGAATAATAATTGAACATTAGTAGTATCTTGTTCGAATCTTAAAGCATTTAATAATAATGATAATATTTTAATACGATATTGTAAAAATGTTCTAATTGTTGTTTGTATATCATGTGATTTTTCAAAATAATCTTCAAATAAATGTTGTTGAAGATTTTCATAATGAAATGGTAAACTAACAATTGACATAAGTATTTGAATACATTTTAAACGAATACGTATAAAACGATCATGATTTATTGATAAATTTGTTGTATTTTTCATATTTGATTGATTATTATTATATGTTTGAATATCATTTTGAAGATAATATTCAATTGCATCTAAATAAAGTGGTAATAAAATATTAATACCACGTAAATTAATACGAAATAAATCAGCACTATTTAATAAAATTGATTCAATTATTGTTAAAGAACGTTGCTAAAAACAAAAAAAAATTCAAAATTTATTATATAAAATTATAATTATAATAATATTAATCTATATTTTACTTCATCGCCTTGATAAAATCGAAGACCTTGTTGTAAAGCATAATAAAATCTACTTAAATATTCTGAATGTATATATTCATCACAATGTGCACTACCAAATATTGTACATAGTGTTGCAAATGATTTAGCAAATGCTTCATCCATTAAACGTTCATTCTATTCATATATAAATATAATTGAGTTTTTTTTTTTTTTTCTTTTAAGCTATTAACTAGACTACCTGAATATCTATTGTCTTATCAATTTCATTCATTCGAAAAGCTAAAATAAATTTCATAATATCGATCGAAATGAAAAAATGAAAATCTAATACATACAATCATTTGCATTAACTATTGTTGCTGAACGTGTATAACGATCTTTTAATTGTAATAAACATGCATCTAATATCCATGGACCATATAGATGCATTAAACTATTTACAGTAGGTCGATTTGTTCGTAAAATTTTTGATAATTGTTCAGAACGATTTTGTTGAGGAATTGATAATGATAAATTTGTATTAGTTGTTGGTGATACTGCTGAATATAACTGACCAGATGGAATACTAACTAAAATAGAAACAAGCATGTCAAATAAATATAACAAAAAAAAGACTAAAGGAAGCAATAAAGAAGTAAATTGTCAATGATTAGATAGGGGTTTAAACTAAATATTTGTTTATTTCATTTTATATTATACCTGTTTTCTTAGCACTAACTGAAATAAGATAGGCTTTGAAATATCCAAAAACATATTTGTTGAACATTACCTCTTCGATTTTCAGCTTGTGATTTGGTAGGTTTTAAAGTACCAGCTGTTTGTTGTTGTTGTTGTTGTTGTGATGGTTGTAAGCCTGATGATGTTGCATGAACAGATTGAGTAAAAGGACGTGATGGTGATAATAAATTACCACTAGGTATTGTATTATCATTCATTGTAACTGTTGAATTACTTATTGGTTTAGCACTATATAAACTAGTTGAATCAATATCTTTTCCTATAAATCACATAAATAATTATTTATTTTGAAAAATATAGAATTCTATTTATTTAAATATACCTAACCATATATCAACAAACATTCCAATTGCTTTAGTAACATTAACAAAAATACGTGGTAATTCTTGTAATGATGTTAAATCTTTTAATTTTATATTTGAATTTCCTTGTAATTGATTTGCATATTTTGGCATACGTACAAAAACCTAAGAAGAAAAAAAAACCATATATATAGAAATTTTTATTCTTATCTTATTTATTTATTTATCTTTTAATTTACCGAAACATCACCACATTCCGATGGATTTTGTAGAATAGTAAGAAATTTGATCCATGTTATAACAAGTAAATCTAATGAAAGAGAGTCGATTATCTTTTGTATATATTCACTTTGATCAGTTTCAGTACCTAGAAAAAATGAAAAGAATAAAATAAGAAAAAAAGAAAAACGAAAACAATCGATCAATTATTTACAAGTATATTGAAGTAATATTAAATCTGGCCACCATAATTTACGCACAACAGTTGATGTAAGAACACATGTAAGTAGTGCCCAATCTAAATATAAATAAAAATTTTTATAATTGAGAAGAAATTGAATCAAGTAATAAAATCTTATTTTATGAATTTGAGAATGAAAATGGCAGACGATTGTTCACTAAGGAAATAATATTCTCAATATTTTAAAACTTTATAGAAAGAGAAATTCCTATGATAGTTCAGTCTATCATAAGCAAAGTAAAAGAAGATATTGAGTACGGCTAGGGATGTGCAGTTTCGGTGAAAACAGTGAATTACTGACAGTGGTACACCGACACTGAGCGCACTGTCTGCAGTGAAGCACTGACACTAAGCGCACTATCTGCAATGATACACTGACTGCACTGGTTCCACTACCTGCACTGATATTGGTGTTCACTGAGCCAGTGCATACACTGACACTGACTAATGCACCGGTGTCAGGGTTCACCGAAACAGCGATGCCCACTGAAGTATCAAGTCGCCTACTCTATAAAAGTATGCACTGCTCATGACTTTATTTATGACTATCAATGAAATTAGCGAAATGGCTATACCTATTCCTCCAGAAAGTAGGATTCATTTAAGTAATCTATAATTTTGAATAATAAAGACAATGTCAACGAAATACGCCACTTATAGTCCTAATATTGACACATAACTACGAGATTTTATTACTCAACCAGATTCATTTAAAGCAGTGGCGGATTTAGGGGGGTGGCGATCAGGCGATCGCCTTCCCCTTCCAGAGATTTTTTTTGTTTTTTCTCAGCAAAAACGTACGAACAACTGGTCTTTACTACCTCGCATAAGTCTCAAAAAGTGATTTTTGCCTATAACCGCCGCATCTTTCGAAAATCGCCCTTCCCTTCTAAAATTCTAGATCCGCCACTG